TTACAGCAATGTTAAAAGGGGGGACAGTGTGCATAGTGATTCAAAGTGTCCATTCTCTCATTGTACGCTTATCATAACCCAACTCCAATTTGGAAAAGCAATGCCCACAACCCAACAGCTATCTCACCAAGTGAGCAACTGTCCAGGCCAAACAAAGAACATCAGCTTTCTCTGTTTAATATCTTCATCCTCTGCAACTCCATGTTACTGCCAATGTGCAGAGATCCCCTTCCCAAGTGAGCTACAGTGTTGAGGGTCATTCCAAACCACTAGAATTGCTGGCTTGCTTTTAGGTGAGCACTATAAACAAACTCCTGCCCAAATGGAAAAGGTTTTCAAAGGCAGCTTTTCTAACTCATCAAAGCCAGGCTCCAGACTTGAATACTTCTCAAGGGCTTTCTCATGTTTTCCACTGTTTTGTTTCCAGAATGCATCCTGAATCCTGAGCCTTTCACATTTATGTCTCTAATAGGCCATAAGCAAATGGTCTCGATATTTCAGTTGGTTTTGAATGGCTGTAAAGTTTTCCCTCTTTAGGGTGGGCAGATCCAATCACTGCAAGACAGACTACCCCAACTCAGCCAGCTGACAAGCTCTTCTGGAGAGCACATCTCTCCAGCTCATTGCTGGCATTTATTGCAGGCCTTACAGTGTCCTAGGCAGTTTGCAGGCATTATTTCCTTTAACCTTTACAGTACCTTATGCGATAGATTACATTATTACCCCCAACATTACAGATGAGGAAACTGAGACAGAGTGTTGAAATCACTTGCACAGGTCACATGGCAAGAAAATAGCAAATCTGATGCTTCAGTCAGGGCTCCAGCTCAAAAGTCCAAGTGCTGACCCAAGCTGAGCCCCGAGGATATGTGGCAAACAAAATGCCCTGGTGGATCTTACAAGGTACAATAAAGAATTTAAATGAATGCACATAATGTATTAAATAATTGCAGGAGGACTAGAAAGTACAGATTGCTATGGAAACATAATGGTGGCAACTTGCAAACTATGTGGTTTCCTTATATGGAAATATACACCACCTAAGAGAGAAAAGGGGACACACACAACAGACCCATTTCCTCTCCTCCAGATCTTGATCCCTGAATGGAACAGGTTACATTTTTAATAAGGAACTGGAGAAATACATAAAATACCTAAAATCTCTAATTGTTAGTTTGCTCTCATCTAAAACCCAAGAAAGACCCTAACACACACACTTTCCAACCTTTTGAAAAATTCTGCTAAGTGACATCATTTGCGTTTTTTTCCAAGACAGTATACATTTCTCTGAGTTAAAAATAAGAATTTGGGGCCAGCCCGGCGGCTCAGTGGTTAAGTTTGCACGTTCTGCTTCAGCAGCCCGGGGTTCGTCAGTTCAGATCCTGCATGCGGACCTACTCCCTGCTTATCAAGCCATGCTGTGGCGGGTGTCCCACATATAAAGTAGAGGAAGATGGGCATGGGTGTTAGCTCAGGGCCAGTCTTCCTCAGCAAAAAGAGGAGGATTGGCAGCAGATGTTAGCTCAGGGATGACCTTCCTCAAAATAAAAAGAAAAAGCATTTGCCCAAGACTTAGAAACTAAAATGGAAATGAATAAATGCTGCTTTCTGTGTCATGTACACATTTTTCATCAGAATTTGATTTTCAGAGAAAACCCAGCTTTTAGCAAATGTTTTCTCTCCTATGAAGTGGGGATGATACACGGAGGTGTCAGTAGTGAAGTAGAAAATAACAAAGAAAGGAAACTTGTCTGATCCACGCTTTCATTGTGATTTTTACGATTTATGAGGAAGGACATTGAAGCTATTGATCAGCTAAAATATTCTAACTTGCCCATGAATTTCATTTATCTATAGTATTCTCATAATAATATCAGCTGGCATATATTGAGCAGGTATTATTACATACCAAGTTCTAGACTTGATCTCTGTAATACTTATGCCTTTTCAGGCAGGTATTGTCATAACCATTCCATAGAATGTAGAACTGAATCACTATAACAACTACCTTCTAGTGAGTGCTTGCTCCTTGCAAGGTGTTATTCTATACACTTTGAGTCTTAGTGGACATTTTCCATTGATTAGTAGCTCAACATCAGAATGTTCATCCTATTTAGGAGAATGAGTCCCACTTTCCCTCAACACACACCTTGGTGCCTTGCATCCTATCCTTCAGATGGGCCACTGAATCCACAGAACAGGATTCCCTCTCAGCAACAGTTAGCGAGTCTCCCTGTAGCTGCAGAGGAGCTGAGTCCTGCAGCAGCACTGGATTCCCAACCAGGGCTCAACACTGTCAAGGTCCAGCCATCCTTGGTTCTTGCTCATTTTCTAAACCTGCTTCTCCAGCTGTGCCATAGTAGCCGCCTCACAAATTTGTTCTCTGCTTAAGTTAGCCAGAGGTCATCTGTGATGTTTGTGAGGCAGAATTCTAGCTAAAACACATGCATTTTCTTATTTAATCCTCATGGCAATCAAATGAGGTAGGCACTTTCACTATACTCATTTTTATACACAAGAAACTAAGGTACAGAAAGGTTAGACACCTTACTCAAGATTGCACAGCCGGTGCTAGTGTTGAAACTTGAGCAGTGTGACTCCAAACCCAGCTTGGAGAGATTTAATAACTTGCCCAAGCAACTCTGGGTAGAGTCATCATCTGGTTCCACCACACCAAGCTGCTTTTCTTTGTGTCAAGCCCAACTCTGACACAGGGGAGACACAGAGACCCAGAAGAGCCGATCCAGAGATTGCTGCAATACAGAACCTAACACTTCAAGGCTTGTCCACTAGAGTCCTAGGACTTTTCAAATGCTCCATATCCCAACACTGCTGCTGGAGGGCAAGCCTGCCCTTTCCAAGTGGAGCCCTGACCTCCTCATTGTGTCTTGATCCCAAGACACAGAGGGTCAGATGAGGTCCTGCAGAACAGACCATTACTTAACTCTCACTTCCAGGAGGCAGGTCTCCTAGCCCCAGTGGAGAGGAAAGGCTCCCACTGTTCCTGCACCTGCAGCCGTGCAAGGGGAGTTTCTTCTTCTTCTTTTTTAAATTCCTTGTTGTTTCCATAAATCTCAGACCTCTTAACCTCCCAAACTCCACATAAAGGTACAGTGTTTCCCCTTCACAAACAGCATACTGTGCCCTTACTTCTCATCAACGCAAAGGTCACCAACCGCCTGTTGAAAACAACTTTTCCTCTGAGAAATGTTTGTGTTGCTTACTTTCCCTGTAGTTCTGAGTCTTTTTTCTTTGTCCATTCAATGTTTCTGTGAAGGTGCTGTATTGATAACAACTTCAGCCCCTCCAGCGTTCACAGCAAATGGAAGGCCATGAAAGAGATTAACTTTGTGGCCCTGGGGAATTTTGAAAATGCTGGGAATGGGATGGGCCCCTGGGGCCACTATGGAAAGCAGTCATTAGGAGGTCCACAGGCAGGCAGTTCTTGATGACTATATTAACACTTTCAAAGGCTCACTACTTCACAGGAAAATGAAAGAGGGGTCACAGAGATGTTTTCCTTCCCTAGTTCTGAAATGGTTCATTCTGCTTTCACGGGAGTTACTCATTGCCAGAGAAAAGTTGCTGATTGTTTCAAATGATATTTAACACAAAAGAGAAGGAGGAGGAAGAAGAGGGGCTTGGTGGAAATTTTCACTTTTGGTTTCCTTTTCAGGGGGGCTACTGAGCTTGTTTGATTTGGAGACTGGGCTAATCTAGCAGTTTCATGAGGGGTTGGTTTCAGATTCTGTATCTTTTTGTACTCTTGGGTACAAAGCCCTTCGGATGAATCAAAGTACATGAAAACTTTTTTTAAAAAAAATCCCTAAGGTAAAATAAATCATTCTATGTTTTTTTCTTATCAAGAGTTTCTATATTCTGTATGTTTTGTATAATGTATGATACACTATGAAAACTTACTAAATGTTAAAATAATTAGAATTTATATTACATATATGTACACAAATTGAAATTTTCATTCCCTTTTATTTTTCTTCACATTATAGAAAATTTGTATTAGGTAATTTACATTAGGCAATTTAGAATTTGTCTCATCAACTGAAACTTTGAAGAGTGTATTCAAGTGAAAATAACAAAATCCTTGTGTTTTTAGCAGACTTTGACATTGACCCCAGTAATATTTGAAGTCCTTTTGAAATACCACGTCAAAGACACCATCATTGGCTCTGAAGAACAAGAAAATTGCCTTCAACAACTCCAGGAAAAAGCCTACTACCCCAGCCATGGCACCTCCTCCTTGCCGCAGAAAAGTTCCAGCAAAGCATTTATTTTCCCCACCCCACAGTGCAGTGGAAATGAACCCCAAGTATATCTGAAGGAGTAAGCACAAAACAAGTTGTCCTGATGAGTGACCCTAAAAACACAAGCCACCTGATGGAAATCTCTGGGGAAGTGAGTGTTATGGGATAGTCGCGGGAGAGGATTCTTCCTTCTTGTGAGCCTCTCTTGGAATGGGAAGAATAGGAAGTTTCCACCATGTGATATGAGGGAATATGTTCTAATCACTCTCACCCACCCAAGAGACTCAAATCCACCATAGTGCTTAATCCGTTTAGCTTTAAGTTTATATTTTTTAAAATTTTTAATAAAAATGCAAGTGTCCTAAAACTTTAAGACTCTGTGCCTGGGAGGGTACATTACTGGGCAGTCTCTTTGGAGACCTCAGGTAGGTTGTGGGGTGGGAGCAAAGGGCCAGCCACTAAGACAGGCCAGCCTGATATCTTTCTCCCCTCCTTCCTCCCCAAGCTCAAAGACACCCAATTTAAACAGAAAAAGTTGAAGAATGTTGTGCAAATATTTTTTCCACTACCCTCTCCTAGAACCTATACTAAAATGATCTGGATGCAATAGCTAATTACGTACAGTAGCATGTAGAATAAATAGGGTTGGTGTAATTTCTAAAGATCCAAATACTGAGACAGAGAGAGATGTGATAAGCTGTCGTCATGATCCTACAGCTTATCAGTGTTAAAAAAAAAAAGAGGGAAAAAACATAAGAAAACCTGAGAAACCATTTGGTTCATGGGTCTCACATGTCATTGGTAAAGCTTGTTTAAGGGACAAAATGATGGAACTTTTAGTTGAGTTCTTCATTAAAACTTATTAGCATTCTTTTATTTTCCTCTGGAGGGGCCCAGGTGACAGTTTGCACTTCTTATTACCTGGTGTCCCCACTTGCTGAGTACTCCTTTGCCCTGTTTCAGGGCGCAGATGAAATCTATCTTCTGTCTTAGAAGACACGGAGGTGGGGGGAGAATCAAGTTTAAACACTAGAAAAATGAAAACAGATGCGTGGAAGGGAAGACAGGCTAGTGGGAGTGGAGAGACCGGAAGCCCTTCCCAGTGCTGGCAGCATCTGTGCCCCACTCCTCCCCAGAAACCCGCCCCTCAGCCTCCCAGGAGGGGCCAGCCTCACAAAGGGGCGCCAAGCAGGGAATAGCGCCTCTTGAGAGGGAAACCTCCCTTGGAAGCCTCAGCCAGGATTTTTTCAATAAACCCTTTGCAATTAATTGTAAGAGCCTGTGGGGTGGCGGGGCGGGGTTGTAGTAGGGATAAGACGGGGAGTCCAATCTTTAAAAGAAGTGAGAAGAAAAGCTTAGACCTTGTTTGTTTGCAGGCACAGAGAGCAGCGTTTGCGAAGAGCAGCCGGCGGGGGCGATGGCGTGAGCTGAGCAGCGACGCGAAGCCAGTCCGGGCGGGAGACTGGACACTGGCCGCTCTTGTGGACGCGGCCTGCCCACAGCAGTCAGGCCGGCCATCCATCACCCGCCGCCGAGGGGCTACCAGGCCTGAGCCGGCGCCTCCCCGCCCAGACACTGGCCCTCAGCAGGGGACTGACGTCAGCGCCCCCGCCCCCGCCCAAGTCAGATACCCAGTCCTGCGCCTCTGGCCTCTGGAGACGGCGGGCGGCCGCCCCCATCCCGCCTACGCCCGCGTTTCCCACTCAGTCTTCATGACCTGGGAGGGAGCCCTCCTCTCCGAATAAAATACCCTTCCTTAACTTGCCCGTGTAACGCAGCTTCTCACAGGAAGCCTCCCGACCTGTTTTTACAGCGGAATGTGGAGTAGTGAGAGGAGGTAACTTTTCTTGTGACACAGGAGGAGCTTGGCCAGGAGGCTATTGGTCTTGTTATTGGAACTGTGTGTGCTCAGCTGGGATGAACAGTGCTGAGAACCCTGACAGGCATGCAGGAAGCACCAGAAGAAGGACCCGAGAGTCATCATGGCAGGAGGTGGGCTCACTCACATAGTTCTCACTGCACACACACAAGATTTACACCTCTCAGGCTTGTTCACCAGAATAAATACCAACTGGAAAGAAAACCTCCACAATGTCTGCCAATGAGCATTTCATACAACTCCCAAACAATTCCTGGACATACTTGTATGGGGGGACACCAGCCCAGAAGCAGAGGAGGGGCCAAGTTATGCCAGGAGCGTCGTTGCTCTGCCTTTGTCTAGCTTGTCTTACCTGCTGAATGTACCACAGAAGACAGCAGGTTTGTGGATTTCAGCCAGTGCCAGGATCCTGGCCAAACTAGGCAAAGGTGCTGGAGGACACTAACCTACGCATCGCTCTCCTCCCAGGGCTCTGGGCTGTGAGGAGGAGGGTCTGCATTTCGGGGAAGCCTGGGCATCCTGAGACAAGGTGGCACCACAAGGTGCCTTGACGTCCTGACAGGAGGTCTCTGGACATAAAGCAAAACAGTGAGTGGTTTGTTTGCTTTGGGTTTTTTTTTTTTTAATCAGTACAATTGGGCTTTAAAAAATTGTTGTAACTTCTTCAAAACTGTGTACCAGTATTTTAGAACTCTCTCTTAACTGTACCCTATATTGTTTCTTAAAACCTCAAACAGGCATCAAAGAAGTGCTGGCATTTTCCCCTGCACTTGCCATCTGATCACAGATGAGTTTTCACAGACATTTTACAACCATCCAATGTGATGTGAATGTGACGCCTGCCTCTTCTCCTGAAGACCAAATACTCCCAAACCCACCTGCTCCACTGTCCAGGCAAATGAGTACATGTGCTGATTCAACGAGCTTTGTTTTTGAAACACCTTAAACACTAGAGTTCATTCATCCAAGTACACTGATATATTAACTCAAAGTAGTAAAAACCTCATTTTTATTGTATTCGTAGTGGAATTTCTGGCATTCAGGAAAAACAAGATATTAGCTGCTGTGGGAATAGGTTTATATGTAAGACCGAGTTAGCAAATCTATTTTGTTGAGGAAAACTAAATTTATGGAGCTGATTTCCTTCAAACTGTTCAAAATACTCAAAGGTCCTATCTCTATTATCCAGTGCTTAGAAAAATCTCCATTTTGAAGACAAGGCATTTCTGGGCTACAAGGATTTCAAATAGCCCATCTGGCTTTTTCATACTTTGGTTTAGGGGTTTTTATTTTTGGTGAGGAAGATTGGCCTTGAGCTAACATTTGTTGCCAATCTTCCTCGGTTTTTTTTTTTTTTCCTCTCCAAAGCCCTGATACATAGTTATATATCCTAGTTGCAGGTCATGCTAGTTCTTCTATATGGGATGACACCACAGCATGGCTTGATGAGTGGTGCGTGGTTCTGCGCCCAGGATTGGAACTGGTGAACCCTGGGCCACTGAAGCGAAGTACACGAACTTAACCACTTGGCCATGGGGCTGGTCCCTGGTTTAGGTTCTTATCCATGTAAGATTTAATAGGAAAAGTGATTTTTGAACAAGAAAGTATTTTAATTGAGCCTCTAAGGATCAGCAAAACTATACCAGGTATCACCAAATTATGTTTACTAGTAGCCCTCATTGGTTGAAATTAGTCTATAATTAAAGTAAAGTAAAGCAAGTAGAAATGTTTTTTTTGTACACCTCTGTTCCTCTCCAGAAACACCACCCAACTTTGGTTTGATTCTACCAAAATTCTTGTCCACATCTGACCTGGAGATCATGATGATGGCTCTTTAGGAGTAAGACCACATTTGATTCATAACAATAATATTGCAACAACAATTACTGTGTGCACTGACATTTGTGATTTTCAAAATACTTTCATTATTACTTTATTATGATGACCTTGCTAATAAATATTTTATCCGCACTTAACGTGTGAGGAAACAGAAGTTCAGGTAGATTAAATACCTTGCCCAGAGGCACACAGCTAATGAGTAATTAAACCGTCTCAAATATGGGCTTTTTGATTCTAAGTTGGGGACTCTTTCCACTACACAATAGCTCATGATTAGTACTATAGGAATCATATAATAACACTGAATAGAGCCCCTAAGTTGGCTCAGAAAACATCCCCTACAGCCATAGCCCCAGAACAGTTTTTTCAAAACCACCAATGAATATTTTATAAAAAAGTTCAGATGATTAGCACCTCTCCAGAGAGTAGGATTGGGCATGTAGGTGATGACTGAGAAGATGCTTTTTAATATGCCTGAGATGAATTCGATAATCAGTCTGATTGGGAACCACTGCTGTAAATGAACTCTTTGGAACTAGGCACATTTTCTCTTTGTCTACCTAGTATATTGTCTGGCATATGGTACATGTTAGATAGATGTTTGTTGAATGAATACTTACTAAACCCAAGGCCAAATTTTCAAAACAGCCATCTACTATTTAGCCTATGGAGTACTGTTATGGATTTAATGTTTGTGTCCCTCTTCCCCAAATTCATATGTTGAAGTTCTAACTCCAGTGTGATTGTATTTGGAGACATGGTCTTTAGGAGATAATTAAGGGTAAATGAGATTGTAAGTGTGGTGCCCCGATCCAATATAAGAAGAGACACCAAAGAATTCACTCTCTCTCTGCCGCGTGAGTAACAGAAGACTCTCCAGGAAGAGAGGCTTCACCAGGAACTGACCCTAACGGATCTTGATCTGGGATTTCTAGCCTCTAGAAAGAAAATAAATATCTGTTGTTTAAGTCACTCAGTCTGTGATATTTTGTTATAGTAACAAACCTGAGCTGACTAATACAAATGATCTAGGCCAGAGGTTGGCAAACTATGACCTGTAGGACAAATCTGACTGTTCATTCATTTGCTTGTCATCTATGTCTGCTTTCATGCTGCAACATTGGAGTTGAGTAATTGTAACAGAGTCTGTTTGTCCTGCAAAGCTGAAAATATTTACTCTCTGTCCCTTTATGGAAAATGTTTGCTCACCCCTGATTTAGGTTCTAAATGTGATTGATCCTAATGATCACCTGAGGAGATTTCCAGGACGTACCAGAAGTAACACCAGTGTTGAATGCCAGTGTAAATAGAATAGTTACCAACTAAGTAACTGAGTACCCAGAGTCACCTCACTGTCTGAGTCAGTTTGGGCTGCTATAACAAAATACCATAGGCTGGGTGGGTTAAACAACAGACATTTATTCTTCGCAGTTCTGGTAGTTAGAAGTCTCAAATCAAGGTGCCAGCAGATTCAGTGTCTGGTGAGATCCCCTCTCCTAGCTTGCAGATGGCTGCCTTCTCACCATGCCCTCACATGGCAGAAAGTGAGCTCTGGTTTCTTCCTCTTCTTCTAAGGACACTAATCCTGTCGTGGGGTCCCCACCTTCATGACCTCATCTGAACCTAATTATCTCCAAATGCCATCACATTGGGAGTTAGGGCTTCAGTATATGAATTTGGTGAGGAAAGGAGAGGAGGGGAGGAACATAATTCAGTCCATAACAGTCACCTCCAGATAAAGGTTTTGTTTCTGCATTCATTCTTGGTTTTGCTGTTACCCTAGATGGTAGGTCCTGACTGACCCTCATAAGAATGCAAATTTATGATTTCAAGAGAAACTGCACAAGGCACAGTCCTCCTTCCTTCACTAAGAAGGTACTTCTTTCATGATAGTCTCACAAAGAAATACATAAACACTTGCTAAACAGCTAGAACTTTCCAGAAACAAACATAGATATCAAATACACCCAAAATATATTTGTTTGAAAACAGTAGAAAAGGAGGATTGGAGGAACTAACTTACCAAGTAATTACCAGGCTCTCCTTAAGCTCCTCCCTCATTAATTTGGCCTCACTGACACATTAGTTTTGTTTAAGCATTACAAACCACACTCAGAGTATATGGCGCTAGATTCAGGATCTGGTCCCTAGATATACCAGCTCTGTAGCCTTGGGCAATTTACTCTAAGTTTCTTAACTTTGGTTTCTTCATCCATAGAATGGGGATAGTAAAAAGCTCTTCTTCTGTGGATTTCCTTATGAGATTTTAACAACATAATTTATTAAATGGTGATTTGTAGAAGTCCAGGATCTCAGTAAATGACAGCTTTTCTCATAAGACTACAGCTATTAAAAAATAGAACACTGTGTAGCCAAAACACAATAAGGACCCATGCCCCAAAATACTTGCTAGTTTATTTGAGGAGGAGCTATATTTCAGATTATTTTTCAGATAGCTTTTTGGGAACTGATCAGTTTACACAGATATGTCAGCCATCACAGGAACTTGGGAAATGAAGGAATTCACATGCGAAAAATAAAAAGGGTTTCAGTCAATGTGAACCTGAATGGGTATTATATTACTTCATTTGGGTCTTTTCCTTCAACACAAGTTCAAACAAAATAACTAAATGTGCTTAAAAGCCAAAATGGCCATGACCCGGCTCCATGAAGGCCCTCACAGCTCTGGTCCTTTGTGTTCTGTTCACAGGCAGAAGCATTTGACTGGCTGGACCTTGCCTGTAACTCCCTTGACTGTTAAATAATTGCTGGGGATCAACACAGGTGAGGGTGGGGAGGAAAAGGAGGAAGGAAATCTGAAGCAGTCCCTCAACAGCTTCTCCACGATATCACTGACCCAAACCATCTCTAAATGAAATAGCCCTGAAATAATTCCAAATCAGACACGTGCCTCAGCAGTGGCTTTGGACAGCCCTGTCAATCATGCTGCTTCACTGACCTGAGTGATAGCTATGCAAGCAAAGTGGATTGGAAAATTAAGGCTATCTGTTCTGGCAAAATCTGACTTATAGAGAATATTTTTAGACTTGGGGATGACGAAGGAGAGTGGTGAGAAGCCAAAAGCATCCAGATTGATAATCCACACTGATTTAATTTACTCAAAAAGTATTTCACTCATCTCTTTTTGCCCGTATAGACCATAAGTGGTCTGGGCTTTACCACAAAAGACACAAAAATACTTGTTTATTTGAGAAAGAACTCTTTCAAACTATCCTACTTATTCCTACTATACTTAGTGGAAAATGTGGGAAGATAGACTGAACAGTGAACATATCTATATCGGGCTGTCAGCCAAAATTATCCATATTCACTGGCATGTGTGTATAATCTATTTGCCTGTAAATGCCTTGAGTACATAGGCCATGACTTCTATTTCCCAGTACCTGTCTCTATGCCTAGTACAATAGTCTGCATGAAATTAATAGTAGTCACTGAATGTTGTCAATTGTCTGATATTTAGAACTATGTTTTAAGGGCCACATATACCCCCTCAAAAAGACCATATATAGTATTATAATACATTAGATCACATATATCATGTCTTTTTGGCCAATCTTCCCCCTGATACACACATAGTTTTTACTGTTTTTTTACTGTGCAGGTAATCACTCCACTTTCACCAAATACAGGAGGACATGGAAATGTGCAGCACTTGAGCACCTAAGTGGGATTATTTCTCTCTCCTCCAACATCACTCCATCTCCAAGTCTCTGAAGGCTTTCTTACAGTGGTTAAAGTTGCTTCCATTCATCTTCCAACCATAAAGGATCTACTGATTCGTTTTCTTTTGTTTTTATTATGTATCATATCAGCTTCTGCTGCTTTAGTTTATAATTACATTGTGAGGAGAAATTATAAGGAGAAAAACATTTATGTCCATATATGTACATACACACACACACACACACACACACATACACACAACATACGTAACATATATCAACCAAATATCAGCTGAAATTTACAAGGAAGAAAAATTCAGAAATATGTGAAGGTAGGTATCACTTGCAGTGTGTTGAAACACTCATATATTGTGTATACTGTTGTCATTTTAAGTTAAAATATTATTTCAACTGTTTAGGATTTTTCTCTCTATTTTTCTCACAGCTTCACCATCTTTGCCAGCCTCCTTTGCGGGGTCATATAACTGTGTGTGGACAATGGAGTGTGAGTGGAAGTGACACAGTTTCTAGCTTTAGCCCTCAAACCTTCCTTGTGATCCTCCATGCTCTCTCTCTTCTCCTACCTACTGGTCACTGCATAGAAGCCAGGGGAGGATGCTGAGGCCCTAGATAACTGGTTCTCAACCCTGGGGCAATTTTGCCCCCAGGGACATTTGGCAACGTTTGGAGACATTTTGGTTGTCACAAGTGGGCAGGGCGCTACAGGCATCTAGTGGGTAGAGGCCAGAGATGCTGCTAAACATCTTAAAATTCAGAGGATAGTCCCCCCATAGCAAACACTTGTCTGACCTAAAATATCAGTAGTGCTGAGATTAAGAAACCCTGCCCTAGACAATAGCTGACCTTTGAGTTGAAAAGAGCCTGGATCCCCCAGTGACTATGGGGATCAAGCACTTCCCAACCCACATCTCCCCTCCATTGTCAACACTTTCCTTTATCATCTCCAAATCTATGAGACTGTGGGAAATAAACCATTGTGTTAAAAACCTGAGAAATTAGTATTGTTTATTAAGACAATTGACCTACCCTCACTATACACTGGAGAAGGCAAACAGTGTGGGGGAAAATTTAGAGATGTTTTCAGACAATAGAGTGTAGGAAAATATTGTATTTTATTTTGTTTTACTTGTTTTGTGAGGCTGTATCATCATAGTAATTGAAGTCCTGATGCTGCCCCAAACGGAAGGCATGCTCAGCATGCTGGCTGGGCAACTCCCATGTGATAAAAACACACAGGCTTATCAGGCATCTGGAGCAACTAGTAAGGAAGACTTAGCTATTCTCATGCATCACACCACATCATGATATCTTCCTTCATCATTTCACTAATAGTTAGTATATATTCCACAGATATCACTTAGTCCAGAAGCTTACAAAGAACAACAAACACAAAAGCATGAGGAGGACGTACTTCCAGCAGGATGGAGAGATTGGACGGCAGCTCCCACTGACTCGTTCTGAAGCCCTCTGTACTAATGGTTTTGTTTTCCTAATCACTGACACTAAGCCTCTCTGATGATTTTCTCTATCTTGGCTTGGGGACTAAATTCTCACATATTTGTCACATACCCAGAATGTTTTGTGGTAAATCAAGGATTTAGGTAAAATACAAAACCACAATGATGAGGAAAGGGGCTACTAGCTGGATAGTTGACCAGGAAGCTTGTCAAAGTACCAAGAGCCTAGACTGAAACATAGCAATTGATCAAATAACTGAAATCACAGATTATGTACGTGAATTCTGCAGTCAACAGTGGAGTCAAAAAAGCTAAACTAGTTTTCAATCTGAGGACTTGAATGGATAACCCCCTTTTAACCTTATAGGATAAGAGAAATAAGTGCTATTTCATCCAAAGTTGTCTTAATAATAGTACTATCTCTGTATACTATGAGCTTAAAAAAATATAAACATGAATATACCCCCTTTGATGTCCTCCATTGAGTTTCCACTTCTCTTGTTGTTCAAAACATCTCTAGCAATTTCCCAGCACATCCGCACTTCACCACTTGCCTGCATGCTGCTTAAGTGTGACAAATACCCTTTACTAGTGTGACACCTCAAACCCAGCTCACACCTAGCTCCATGACAGCCTCCACCCTAGCTGCCTCCTTGGACTGACAATGCCCTACACGAGCCCTCCAGCTCCTCAGTCCATCCTCCTCAAGGCTCTCTCCAGCTAAAGGAGACTAGAAGCTGCACAACCTAAATGAACACTCAGGAGCTGAGACTATCGTAGCATAGGGAAACATGCAAGTAAACAGAGGCTTACAATAAAAGTTGTCAGTGTTGTCCTAGAGAGGCACAGTAATCACTGTGAAGAGTTATGAACCATCAAGCACAGCAGTGAGCACTGCAAAGCCCCCGATCATGTTCTCATTTGAGGAACTGGAGAAGCACCTCTCCATGCTGCCCATGCAGTCCCTGGAAGGCTCCCTGGAGGAGAGGGCAGCCCAGCTGAGCTGAGGAGAATAAATGCCTGTGAATCAGGTGGAAAAGTTGGAAAAGGAGGCTCCAAGCACAGAGGGCAGCCTGTGGTAGGACACGGAAGCAAGGGTGAGGATGGCATTTACAATACATGTTTCAAGACTTCTTACTTAGTAAAAGCAGTTTTTACTTTAAGATAAATGATCCCAAGGCTTTCAACCTTCTGACTGACTTTCTAATTCATTGACCATCCTTTAGACCAAGGTTGTCTAAATCTGTTTTATCTTAATTATTTATCAGTAAAAATCAATTGAATTAACTTACACAATATGCATAATTATCCATTTTAAAGTATGTGCATGTACTATTGTATTATTATATTGCTTATATAAATAATGTATGCACCAAATATTATTTTTAAAGGATAAGATATATACATTAAGAGAATATCTAGCATTTTCTGCCCACATCTCGGTTTATCCTTTCTCATAGACTGAAAGCTCCGCCAGAGTAAGGATGAAGGCAGTTTTGTTCACCATTGTGTCCCCGTGCCTCATACATGCCTGATACTTGGCATGTCTTCAACAAATATGGATGAACGAATAAGTGAATCCAGCTCTTCACCAGAGATTACAATAGCATTGAAAGTAAAGCCGTGAGTAGAAAACATCTAACTTCTTTTCATGAAACAAACACCAATAGCAGTAAAATCTTAGAGTCTTTTGTTATATAAGTTACAATTTGCCTTATTCAGAGAAATGAACAACCTTAAGGGCCATCAATAAAATCAGTGGGAAGCAGTAGGACAATGTGAGAAAACAAAGTACCTGACTCCATTTTCTTGCGTTTCCAGCACAAAGAGAAAATTAAATTTACTTCCATATGTTTTATGAACTGTTCTTCACTAAAAATAATATATTTTATCAGAAAACAAAATGATTGATGAAAGACTAAAGGACCACTTTAATTCCTGCATCTTGGGTTGAGTTGGCATCTGTGCCCACTGCGCCAGCAGAGCCACCCCTCTGACTCTCCAAAGTCCTCTGGGTCAACCCCTCCTTCCCCGAGAGTACTCTTCAACCCAGAGGCAGTCGGGGCCTGCGCAGCCCAGTCTGCATGTGTCAGAGAGGAATTGAAGCAGAGCAAGTGCATTCTAGTTGACATTTTGTTTCATCTCTACAACTGATGGCTCCTGGAAGCCATCTGTTTTCTGGCTAGAAGGGTGGATTTCTTGAGGTTAGGGCAAAGGTATATCAGGATAAAGAAGGCAGAGTGTACCTCTTAGACCCTAGCCAATTCACAGATGTCCCCTCTCTCTAGACTGTGTTTGTCCCCACACAACCTCATGTTTGTTGATCATCTCAGCAACACATGATTTTGGAAAAGAGAAAAAAATATTCCCCAAATAGGGCATTTGCCACAAATTCTTACACATTTTGACCAAACAAAGGATTCCAACCATGAGCCACAATAAAGTCAGATAAGCAAGGATGGCCCTGCATAGTGCCCGAGGCTCTGAACCTCTGGGAGCAGTGTCCTCTTCTCTGAGCAGTACAGAAAGGCCTTTAAGACACAATGAATCAGGGAGATCTCCAGTGAGAGCAAGTGGCAGTTTTATTCTTATTTTATCTTCAGCAGGATGTTTTCATAAGGTATGAGACACATTTGTTTTGATCTATGACTTTGTTAAATAAATTCACCCCAAATGAGTGCCACCAAACTGTATCTGATTCCCAAGAGGAGAAAAGGCCTCAGTCACCACAGTAGAATTCTCAGGTGACCAATCGCCCTTAGAAAGTGAGAGTGTTCAAAGCTTTGGCAGGTCCAACAGCAAAATTAAACCCTATGAACTAATTATCCACCCTCACAGAAAGGGCAGGGCTTCGTGGGAAGTGCATAATCCGTGGCTTGCTGTGAAACACATCCAATAAACAGGTTTCACAATCTCCAGGAAGCCAAGTGTCAGGAGCCGTGTGTGTGTGTGTGTGTGTGTGTGTGGGAAAGCTGCCCTATGGGTGAGGTGAGTGGCAAGGCGTGGGTTCTGAGGGCTGGGCCCAGTGAGCGGCCAGGTGACAAAGCGGCACAGCAGGTTTCAGCTCCCAGCAGGCTCCCAGTCTATGGAACACCCTGGGAAATTTTCTCACGCTGTTGATAGGATGGGAACCTGGCACAGTCCTTATAGCCTAAGTCCATTCTGTAAAATGACATTTATTGGGGTTCTTGCTTGATTAATTGTAATGCATGAAAGTAATACACATTTTAACACAGTTTTGAAAAAATGAAAAAATACATAGAAGCACAACAAAACACTTGATGGTTAGACCATTCTGTTTGCTTTAGAACATTTTTATTTTATTGAGCACTAGGAGCACAGGAGCTGGGAAGCTAAGCCTTGTTAATGGTTTTTAAAGTAACCAAATCATCTAGTCAGATTTATGTGTATGTGTGTGTGAGGAAGATTGTCGCTGAGCTAACATCTGTGCCAATCTACCCCTTTTTGCTTGAGGAAGATTGTCGCTGAGCTAACATCTGTGCCAGTCTTCCTCTATTTTGTTTGTGGTTCACCGCCACAGCATGGCTTGACAAGCAGTGCATAGGTCTGCACCTGGGATCTGAACTGGCAAAGCCCAGGCCGCCAAAGTGGAGCGTGCAAACTTAACCACTACGCCCCCGGGGCTGGCCCCAGTCAGAGTTCTTTTTTTACTGAGCCTCAACCAAAGAATCTGGGGCCTGAAAGAAGGCAGGAAGCAGGACTACTTGGAAACTGATGCCACTGTGATTTTTCTTTCTATTCCCGTATAGTTCGCTTTTCCAGGAGAAAAATACGTAAATATTATATATTAGTTTATTATATATGTATTATTTTATTATATATTTTTATATCTATTTGTCTATGTACGTATATATGTACATGTTATTTAAAGAGAAAGAAATTTAACTTGAGTTCGACAGCACTTTTAAATCTATTCCCTAGTGACAGCTATCTTGGGGGCAGAGTGAGAGGGAGAGCTGGGAGGACATGACACAGCAAGTACAGTGAGTCGTCTGGTGGCTCATTACTAAGCGCCTTTTCCCAAAATTCCTCAGTCTTCTTTATCAACTTATTGCTTAAAAAATGGAATCATCAAACATTTCATTTAATCATTCTACACATATTATTGAGTGCCTGCTGTGTGGCAGGAGTTGCCCCAGGCTCGAGGATTACTGGTGAGGGAGGAAAAGCCCCTGTCTTACCCTGTAGATGTCCATCTGTGTGGGAGCCAAGGGTGCATCAGTGGATGGCAGGTAGGAGAGAAAGTAGACCCCTCCCAGTCCACACACAACACCTCTGACTCCACCAACGTCCCATAGAATGTTTGCATTAAAAACACCTGCATTCTTTAAAATATATATGAATAGCATGTTACAAAAAAAAAGGTGAATAGACTTGGATTTGAATCCAAGTTCTTCATCCTTGGATCTAGGCTAAGATAAGAAGAGATTTGAGATCTTGTGACCACTTTTATGTATAAATTCCATTAGGATTGGCCAACAAGTCAGTTTTATTTATAGAGTGTCAGTAAAATGGATTCTGAACAGTAGACAGAAAAATATTTGATCTTTCCCACTTAGCTCATAACCAAAATCAATTTAAAACAAAAACCAGCAGGGTACTACAGATCAAAGGAGTGATCTTCACTAATAAACAGTGGAAATACTAATATGAAAGTTATTACTGAAGTACAGATGATTTTTAAGCCACATATTAATATTATCCTAAGCCTTATAGAGGAAAACAAAATAGGTTTAATTTTTTTAAATATTGATCAACTTCTATCATTTTGACCAACACATGCATTGCAACAAAATAATACCAAATCTTAAATTGATTACTCAAGAAATTATCTTTTTTCAAAGAGCTACAATCTAGGTTTCCGAATCGCACATTAAAAACTAAACAGTTAGGGGCTGGCCGGGTGGTGCAGCAGTTAGGTTTAGACGCTCCACTTGGGCAGCCCGGGGTTTGCTGGTTCAGATCCTGGGTGCAGACCTATCTATGCACTGCTTATCGAGCCATGCTTTGGCAGGCGCCCCACATATAAAATAGAGAAAGATAGGCACAGATGTTAGCTCAGAGCCAATCTTCCTCAAAAATAAATAGTTCTAATTTAAGTTTTAAAAGTATGTTTAAATATAAACATTTTTTAATATAAAATAAAAACAAATTTCCACAGTCATCAGTTTTATGACATGTGCTGATAGCAACTTTAAAAACTTATTTTTGAAGCATACAGTTGTCTGTGAAGTATGGATTACCACAACGCTCTTAAGGCTCATTTGTTTGTTTGTTTTACAACTTAGTGAATACATGGTACAATTGGATATACCCAGCCTTGAAATTTCCCAACCTTTTTGATTATTAACTCATACTGGAAAAATAAATTTAGATGACTACTAAAAATGGGTCTATGACACAGTTGCTAGGAGTTCCTACAGCTCTTTCCTGCATGGGCATTGCTGCTAAGACAGCCTGACACTTTGCCTTCGCACAGTGGCCAATTGCTTACAAGGCGGAATCCCAACAGTTGGCTGTGGCATTGACATGTACGGTGCTCAACGTTTTCCCATATAACATGAGAATCCCATAGGAACAAGTCCCCAGCCTGAGATTTTTTTTTAATGAATCATTCTTGCATCTCAGCTCTACCACACCCGCAAGATAGCTTGATGTTAGCAAAGTGTTATTGCAACAAAAAGAGGGCAAGCATGACCTCCCCTGGCTCATTAGGTCCAAGTCAAACAGCAGGATAGTCGTACCCTTTAGTCCTGAGCCCAGTTTGAATTTTGAGACTTCCAAGGAGGCCCAACTTGGCAGGTAGTCACTCTGGAAGTGTGACATTTTTGGAAAGGAGGTTCTATCATCTGATGATAAAAGGCTTGGGTGCTGTGTTATGGGATCCAGAGCAAGGAGTGTGTGATGTGTTCAGGGTGCCCTCTCTCAGGCACAATGACATAGAACCCTTCACTATTCCAGCTCCTTCACTGTAAGGGGCCAATCATGTCCCAATGGGCCCTGAGATCACCATTGTTCACACAAAGCTCCCAGGGTGCTTTCCCCTGATGATCAATTTACTTCAGGTTTTGACTGAGTTTCAGGAAGGGAACAAACTAAATTGCTCAATTAACCTCTCCCATTAAAGCCATTTTATTTTTCAGTTTTCTAAAAATGATAACTGACTTCTATTTAAAGTATCATCAGAATAATGTCTTTACCCAGTATGACAACTAATTATATTCTGTTCTTTCTATTTTGTCCTCTGCTGTCAAAAATGTTGATTTTCAGAATAAGACCAAATGAGGAAAAAAATGTCATTTAAGAACATAAAGGTAGATGTAAAATGCAGCCCAAGCCCGAACAGGATCCTTGACCCTCATCATCCGACCCTGTGGATCGCACCACACAAGTCCCACTGCTTCATGTATCAAGCAAGCCAGTCTCGTGATGAACATTGATGAAGCCAAGAGTATTCACGGGCAATTTGAATTTGGCCTTGGCCAGCTCTGAGCATGGTCCTAAGTACCTGCTGCTGAATAGGTTAATGAGTTACAAGGATCAAATCTCTGAGGGCCACCAAGGTACAGGGAAGTGGGAAGCAGTAGCGATTAAATGCACCATGTCAGGAGAGAACCTGTTGTCTTCTTGTTTGTTTTTTTGGTGAGGAAGATTGGCCCTGAGCTAACGTCTGTTACCAGTATTCCTCTTTTTGCTTGAGGAATATTGTCGCTGAGCTAACGTTTGTGCCAGTCTTCCTCTATTTTGTATGTGGGATGCCACCAAAGCATGGCTTGATGAGCAGTGTATAGGTCCACACCCGGGATCTGAATGAGCCAACCCTGGGCCACTGAAGCAGAATGCACAAATTTAACCACTATGCCACCAGGCAGGCCCTGAGAACCTGTTTCTTACTTTTATTTTCTTTGAGGAAGACTGTCCCTGAGCTAACATCCATGCCCATCTTCCTCTACTTTGTACATGGGACACCTACCACAGCATGGCTTGCCAAGCGGTGCCATGTCCACACCCAGGATCCAAACTGGTGAACCCCAGACTGCTGAGAAGCGGAACGTGTGAACTTAACCACTGCGCCACCAGGCCGGCACTCCTGGGAACCTGTTTCTTAATAAACTTTTCTTCTTAACCTGTTTCAGATAGTGAATCAATTAATAGTAGTTAAGTTTAAAAACATATGTTTTTGCTTTTGCAAAGTTATCAGCGTGGGAACTTTCTTCAAATTCTACTTTAAACCATCTTGCAATGCCTCTTCTCCTCAAAATGTAAGTCAGAAGATATCTTCCTAGGAGATACGATGAAATAATGAAAAGAATACTGAGCTGAGAACGGAGTTCTAGCCCTTATTAACTGCCCAACTTTGGGCAAACCACCCACATTTCAGGACCTTAGTTTCCCGCCACATAAAGTGAGGTGTTAGATGAGGCGATGAGGCTTCCAGCTTTCTCACTGAATGGCTCTGGACCATCTACAACACGTTGCCTGGGGTTCTTGTTAAAAACACACATTCCAGAACTTTTAGCAGACTTAGCAAATCAGACTCTTGGGGTGGGGTCCTGGGATCTACATTTTTGGCAAGCTTCCCTAGTAGTTCTTGTGCACACTAACATTTGAGGACCACTGCTCCACAAACTAGAATTGAAGATTCATTTAAACTATTTCCCACATGCCTGGTGCTTATTCTTTTCTTCAGAAGAACTCTAGGTTTAATCCCTTCCCTACATCCCAAAACTACTGCCGGAATGTGCTAATCCTAAATCAGGAGTACATCCTTTTGGTTAAAGGGAGAATTAGTAATTCATCTTGCCTGTAAATAATTCTATAAGGTGTTAATAGACAGATTAATACACAACTTTCTTCCTGTTGTAATGAGTAATATTGAAAAAGAAATACCTTTCATGGAAAATATGGACAGTAGTTCAAAGGTTTCATGTCAGAAAAAAATACTTTGAGTTTTTCTTTAAGAGAATGTTTTTGGGATTTATTTGCTATGAATAGGCATAATGTTCTCCATCAATTTTCTTTTTCTGAGAGAACCTTGCTCTGTTCAGTGGTTCTTAATGAAGTTTAGGACTGCTCTAATATACCCTACAGTTGAAAGAGAAACTGCATTATCTGAGGATTGAAATGCCAGAGTATGCCCCCAGAAGACCTGGAACTCTGCTACTATCATGCCAAGATGCCTCCAGAGTCTCTGGTTCTGTGCCTCAGTTTCCCTACAGGGAAGAACTTGACTGGTTGGGATTTTTGTTGTCCAGTTAAAGGAACCTTTTCTGATGTCACTGTTTCCATGGGGAGACAGGTATATAGCTAGATGAAATTACAGGGAATATTAAAATTCCTTCAAAAGTAGGGACATTTCCCTGAAAGACTAAGCAAAGCCTGCAAGGAAGCTCCTCATTCATGCTTGTTTCACTACACAATTTGTTGAC